TCACAAAGTAGAAGATATAAGGCTGTATCTAAAAATCAGTTAATCAGTCACACAATTTGTCTTTTTCATCATTTTATTCAGTTTTCTTGTATAGTTGTGCATCATTTATGTCTTTTCATGTCTCTTTTGGTGTTTTATTAAAGGGGCTATATCATGTAAAATCAACTTTTTTGAGTTTTACATCATGTTATGATGTTATCCTCTCATCAAAACATGGCCAGAGTCTTACTTTGACTCATTTTGACTCATTTATGCATGTTTGAGAAATCCTGTAGTGTCCTGAGGCAGCCAGGCAGGGGAGCAAAAACAACCAGCTGGGACTAGAACCACCTTTTGGGACCAGCTCCGCCTCTGGATTGTGTCTCCAAGCTGAGCTTCCTCATCACAGAGCACACCTCCCCACCCCCGAAATCCTCCCGTGACTCCTGCAGGCTCTCAGCAGCAACATCAGCAGGCCAGGGGCCTCATGCATAAAGGATTGCGCAGCTTTCACACTAAAAGTTGACGTACAGACAAATTTAGAAAAGTGCACCGCACCAACAAAACTCAGATGTATAAAACTGTGTACGTAGGTTCCTGCACACCTTTCCTTTATACATCTCAAAGAACGTGGAACAGAGCGCACCTGAGGCACCTCCCTTGACACGCCTCCATTTAAATCTGTAAAATAGATGTAAATGTGTCCAGTGTGTGAGATTYTMCTCAGATTGTCCTCTCTGTGGGATCAGAAATGATTTTTAGATGCAGGGAAAAATACAAATCAAATGGAGAATGAGTGAGAAAACTGTCTAAATAAGTAGTGGGGTGTAAAAAGGCATTTGCCCTCAAAGGTGTGTGTGTGTTGGTGTGTACACGCTTGTGTGAAGCTACTGTCTTCAGCGGCGCATGAGGCTGAGAGACATTTCCACCTTTACACRTCTTTAATAARTGACTGTAAACACAGAGGAGCTTATGAGTTTGGTAGAAATTAGAAAATATTTATTAAATAGGTGATGTGAAGAAACAAGTCGCAGCGTTTCTACTGCGGTGTGATTTATATTTTAGAATCATGAAGTCTTTCATTCAGATGCATGGCTCGGCTCAGAACTACAGTAAAATACCCGATTGTAATTTGTTCGGTGTGATATAAAAAACTAACGAAAAAAACACACTGTCCTCAGTTATTCTTGTGGTGATATGAACCTGCAGAACAGCTGACATTAATTCATAAATTACGCACAACTTTACGCAACAAATCTATTGTTTGCATCTTGTGGGGCTGAGGAATCATCACAGGTGAGCTGTTCTGAATTAATCGGCTGAGTTGACAACGTTTTTTTCTCAGTGAGAATTAAAATGTTTCTAAAACAGTTCACACATTTTATTCTCCTCAGCTCTGTGTGCACTCCGCAGGCCATGTGCGCTCTGCGTGTTTTTCCAACTATGTGACAAAAATATAAAAACTTTACAGTTTACCGAGACTAGACTGGACTGAGGTTATTTTGATCAATTTTAGGCTGCTCTATTTTCTTGTCTGAGGTTAAATGATTTTCAGTCCTGGGGTTCAGTTTCATGATCGTTCAAGTTTAAACAATAAAAACTCAAACTAAAAAAATTAAAAAAAATCTAACACCGTGTTCAGACTCTCTTTACATCCAGAAAACAGAACAGTCATATTTCTGTGGATTCAGGTCAGATTCATGAC